ATATATATAGTAATATAAACAATTATGTATAAAATAAATTAAATTAATTTAAGTATTATAATTTTAACTTTATGTTTAACATTTATATTTTTTAAATTAACTATAATTGATGTATAATTTTAAAATTAATTGTTATTATATATAAATTAACACAACATTAAACAATTTAAATTATATATCAATTTATTAAAGCTATATTATTAAATACTTAATATTATATATATTTAAGTATGTTTATAAGTTAACATTTAACGTTTACTAATTTAAAATTAATATTTTTTACAAATAGGAATTACACCGTAATAACATTTGAATACTACTGCAAATAATATTGCAAAACATCGCGAATCAACGGTTGACAAAAGACACGAATAATAATGTGAATAACACCGTGGTAACACTGAAAAACTACCGTGAATAAAACCGTGTAACACCGGGAATGAACGAAATCGCGACCCCACAAATAATATCACGAATAACAATGCAATGACACCGGAAAACTACCATAAAAAACACTATGTAACATAGGGAATCAACGGGCGCGCGACCATACAAATAATATTGTGAATAACATTGGACACTTGACCGACGAATAATACTGTGAATAACACTTAGCGTGCAAACGCGAGGAGTGCATAGCCGTAAACAACTTACTCCAAACATGGGACACGAAGTTAAACTCGTGAGCGGCGTGTAATACAAAAGGAAACCTGCTTATTCCGCAATGTAGCGAAGACGAAGCAAACAAACACTAATGTCGGCGTTTTGAAAACGCCGTGCAGCTATTTCGTGATGCTAAGTTATCCCTAAATCGAACCCACCTACCAAAATTGTTATAACCATTCCTCTTGAAAAGGATGGCTTTGTCCATTTGTGCTAAGCAAGCTAGTCTAATTATGCAAGGGCAGCTATCGAAGAAAGTCATCATGACTAGTAAAAACATATGTCAATCTATTATTAAAAGTACGACGAACATTTTGGACTCGACCTTTCACCCATACACCAGAGATGGGTGTCGTACCAGTACCATCTAACACTCACATTATATTTTATCAAGGCACGGGAGAAAGGCGTCATATAGTACAAAATGTAGCTCATTCATTGTTTAAATGTTTTTCTCCATTGCTTATAAAAGGGAAGAAAAAAGGAGAGTGAGGGGAACTTTTGGACTTTTTTACGAATGGAATTTCTCTTTCTTTCTCTAACTTAAATCTTATAACTCATGGAACCTCCGAGATTTTATATCTTTTCAGCTCATCGAATATAATAATTCAATACATTCTCTAAGGTACATTCTCATGACTCGTATCCATATCTCTCTCTCTCTCTCTCATTCTCTCTGAGAAACAAAGTCTTTATTGGGTTGTACGCACGTATGAATAATATGATAGCTACGTCTCAAAAGGAGTCAACAATCAAATATCTTCTTTAAAATTTTGGAGTGAATGTGAGAATAAAGTGAACTAAAAGTTACAGTGGAGAGAACTGGGGGAGAGTCCCCTTCTTAGTATTTTTGTCTTCTATTTATAGAAGCATATTTTGTATAATTACAAAAATAAGGGAACAATTATTGGAACTGTTCTTAATATGATCAATACTCTAATAAATTGTATGGATATGAATATCATTTCATATATGTATTATCTTTTGAATATTGATAAGGCGGCAATTGGTTGATTGACTTGCTAGAATTCGGTCGACTGGGGTGGCGACCGTGTCTTGTGCTTGGTCGACTGAGGAGTTTGATCAAATGAAATCATCGTCTGTAGTGGTAAAAGTGGGTCGATAGTCCAATCACAATCAAAGGGTGTTGCTTGCGCTTCGATTAGTCGGTTAGTCGATTGATGAGTCGATTTATTTTGTTGGGTCAACTTTGACTCATGTGTTGCTTTGGCTCAAGCCCTATGGAGCCTACATCTCGCTACCTGGTCAATTTCTCGCCTCGGTCAGATGCCCCTATTTGCAACATCTTAGAAAGATATTGTTAGTGTCTGTGTGAGCTATCAGACGAAACTTGTTACTATGATGAATTATGACTAGCCCTTGGCGGATCTTGGCGAATTTTGTCGCTATAGGGCGAGGAACCATCTCCAGAACTTTGGCCTGCCTCGAGTTTAGAAGCGTCGCTTCACCTGCTTGGTGGTGACTTGTTGGTCGACTGCTTACCATTGGGGAAAGCTTTTTATTTTGGGTTGTCCATTCTCTTTGAGATTCATATTGGTGGCTCTAGTGTCTACATATTAGTTCCTCGAGTTTTCCTGCTCCTTGGTAGCGATAACTACAATAAGGACAGAGAAATTATTAGTCAATCATGTCACAGGGATCAAGAAAAATTTAATAATTAATTATCTCCTTATTTTCGAGCTCTATGTATCTTATAGATAAGGCCAGAAATTGGGTTGTTATGCCGAAGTTTTTTGGACTTCTGAACATGCATCATATTGGGCAATACGACCAAAAAGATGGACGATCTAAGTCTATTGGCTTTCGTGGGATTAGTAGCTCCTGATACGACACTCGTCCACAAGAGCAAAAAGGTAGTGAGAAGAGAAAAGAGCGGGGAGACAGCTGACCCCATGCAAATTGATCAGATTGATTTTTTGGAAATTCTGAAGGGAGGTCACTGAAGAGGCCTCTCTGTGGGCCCTATTCCGAACGAGGATAGGGTTGCGACAGACCTGCCGATCCTGCTCGAGGATAAGGGTACTAATGGTCGTAGTAGCTCGAGAGCAGAGGTTGTGACTATCCCTTTTCAACTGCCCGTGGACAAAATGAGGGGAGGCCTTCTAGCGGTAGCAGAAGGTGTTTCCCTTACAGTGTCGAAGCTTTATAGACTCATGGTATGGATACATATGAAATTTCTTTTGAGCTTCTACATCATAATAATTAGACACTTTCTTTAAATGCATGTGTGTCAGTCAGGACGGAGGATGTTGAATGCAGCAAGTCGTCGAGAGATGTGGTTGATTCGGTTTCCGCCATTGTCATTGGCTCCCTCGAAGGGATTGTCCATCCTTTTCCGTCGATTGAAGTAGGTGAAAGCTCTCAGCAGACATAACCTGTGCGCCGAAGACTTCCTCCTAAGGTGATGGCATGTCCGTTGCAATAGATGATAAAGGTTTTGCGACAGAGAAATGAAATCTCGTTGAGTCACCTGTGTCATGGTGATTGGCTTACGATGAGCAACTAGAGGTTGCCTTTCAATAGATTTTAGTTGTTATCGCTCGATTGGAGGAGGAGG